GTGGTTTTACCGTCCTTCAGATCAGGACTCCTACATGCGATCCATCAATAGTCCCATTGTACGTTGTCACCAAGCAGATGAGTAGCGCGCCTTTATTGAGCGTCCGCGGAGACAAGGACACGTCCAGGATTGATGTTAAAGGTGTGGATCAAAGCACTAGAGCCGTGGACTTGACTGAAGACACTCAGGAGGTGCATTAACCTGCTGTGGTCCACTCGTGTGTCTTCAGACAAAGTAGCCCTGTCACTGTGTCCACATAAAAAAGAACCTGTGACGGACCAGGGAGGAGATGGAGTCTGTGAGCAGGAAGACATTTCTGGACCTGAGTCGACAGACGTGTTTCTGAATCACAGGAACTGAATGAGTCGGATGATTATTCGCCGTGGAACGAGTGAACACTGGCCTCCACATCGATTAAATCGCTGTAGCTAAGCCGAAAAAAAAATTTTGGACTCATCGTAAAGAATAGTCCACCAGTCGCTAATGTTGTCATAGCTAGCTAATTCCCACTCCAACTCTGGCTCCTCGGGCCACGGATGTACATTAGCTGAGGTTTCTGAAGAAGAAGAGGAAGAAAAACAAGGACAACAAAACAATAGATATTTCTAGAAATCAAGATTTCTTGGACCAAAAAAAAACATTAGCTTTTGTCATTTTAAAGCAGAAGAAGAAGAAAGCAGACAAAGAGGATGAAGACGAGGATGAAGAAGAAGAATTTGTTCATCTTTATGCACGAACGCAGCCCTGTCCAGGCCCGTCGTTGGCACGGCTACAGCTGGGCGTGTTTTTACCCAGCCAGGATCAACGACGCAGACATGAAACACACCAAAGAATCAGGATGCGAAGAAAGTAGTGAGTTAATAGTCAGGCTAAACGTCAGCTAGCTAGGCTGAATACATAGACAACGCCATAGTTAGCATTGCTGCAAAACATATTTCAGACACTAAAAAATGGTTGTTTTTAGGTCCAAAAGATTTTAGGGACATTTTTTTTGGCTCAGTATCAGATATTTCTACAAAGAACAAAAATTGATTTTTTTTAAGGACCAAAAGAAATTTAAATATAAAAAATGATTTTTTAGGAACACAAAAACAAAATTTTAGAACCTAAAATATATTTCTTGGAATTTATTTGGATTTTTTTTAGGGCAAAATTTCATGGCATTATGGATTCTTTTACTACTATATTATATTTGTGTTTTTGGGGGGTTTTTTTTCAACAAAATGCTAACTCTTTTACTGCAAGAATACGAAGGAAATGTGACAATAAGATTTAAAGTTCGATTTTATCGACCGACTCGTGCTGCACATTAACTTTTGTCTGTGTCTGTGTTGAGGAATGGAACAGTTCAGATGACCTGTGTCTGGAGAGCCATTCTACAATTACCGACAGTAGGTGGCACGAACGCTGTCATTTACACGGAAAAAGGGGTGAGAGTATAAACATAAAGCAGGACATAAACATCTTTAAAGGCCGTGTGGTGTTAGATAACTGTGGAGTGTCGGCCAAAGATAAGCAAATTATATTTTATCTGTTTTAAAAAAGGGGAATTTGTAAACCATAAATCGCCAGGTTCCTGTAAGTAAAGGTCAAACAGGCTGCAGTGGTGGAATACATGACATTATTGTGTGTTTTTTTGTTATCGTTATTGTTAGCCTCCATACAAGGAGAAGAATTTATTACTGGTTGTCTGGTGAACGGAGGTTTGGTTAAAAAACTGTTCCGTCTTCTGTATTCCACCATATTTGATTCTGTCTTTTGCCTCAATTTTTTTCTTTATCTTGTTTTATTATTATTATTATTTTCTTTATCTTGTTTTTTTATTATTATTATTATTATTATCATCATTTTCTTCTCTTTCTGGAGGATAGATGGAAAATTAGCTGTCAACTGTAGAACCTTGATGGAACAAGGGTTTGATAGTTTATCCTGGAAGAGTGAAAAAAAAATACAAAAATGGTCTAAATATGCACCAACCCCCCCAAAATTTATTTTTTCCTTCCCAGTGAATTCACTATATCTGCTTGAAATTTAAAATATAACATCTTTTGGTAGATTTTTTTTTTTTCTCTTCAGTGTCAAACCTAACGCTAAATGTGTTGAGGGATTTATCTTAATGAAACTAGAAAGTTGCCATGAGGTTGTTGTCATCTGTTGTCTAAGTCAGAAATGAGATGCTGCTGGAGACTTTTCAAACTTCTGGAAATTATTTTTAGGACCGTTGAATCACCTCCTGATCTCATTCCTGTAGAAGTCTGAGACTAGTTCACTGCCAATTATTGAATATTTGTGTCTTGATTTCACTTTGACGTGTTCTTCAAAAGGACGCCGTTCTAATGTCAGGCCTGTTTTTGTCCTTAGTCTAAAAATGAAAGGACATCTTGTCCTCCGCGTCCTGACTTGTTTTACGTCGTAAAAGGAAAAATATGACAAAAACATGCTTGTATTTCCTCTCTGATTCTTGTCCTCCTCAACCTTTAACCACTTTAGATACATTTGGTTTAACACATCTGGCATGGAGCTCCAAGATCCTCCTCCTCCTCCACCTCCTCCTCCCTCTGCTCCCCCACCTCCACCTGCTCCACCTGCTCCTCCTCTTCCTCTTCCTCCTCCTCCTCCCCCCCCTCCTCCTCCTCCTCCTCCTCTTCCTCCTCCTCCTCCTCCTCCTCCACCTCCTCCTCCCTCTGCTCCCCCACCTCCACCTCCTCCTCCTCCTCTTCTCCTCCTCCTCCTCCTCCTCTTCTCCTCCACCTCCTCCTCCATCACACTTTCATCAGGACCTTGAGATTCCAACGGAAAATCAATTAGGAGGCTGTAAAGTGGAGCGCCGGCCTGAGAAGAAGCCTCCTCGGCTAATGTTGATGCTGATGCTCAGGAGCTGCCGCCGTGAATCGGCTGCGGGGACATACACAAAGGGGGCGGGGCCTGAGGCTCTTCCGTTGATTGTCCCCTGACAGAGGTCGAAGGAGCTAATCTCACACGTCGGAAAGTAAATAAGATTGAATGCGTTTGTGGGACATAAAAAAAAATACTAGCGCTGTTTCCAGTGTTCGGTGGATTTAGAAACTGAAGAAAGAGTTAGGTTTGAACAAATGTTAATGTTTTAGTTATTTATGTCTTTGATTGAGTGATCGTTACACAGGCGCTTATATTGTTCACAGAAAACAGACCTGTTCTACACCTGTCTTTGTGGTGCACCTCAGGGCTCGACATTAGGTTTCCTTTTTATTAAAAAAAAAACAAACTTTTCATCATCAGATTGGTTTGGAAATTTAAAACACGTTTTATGTTTTATCACCTTTTTTGATCATTTTTTTTTGTGAAGCACAGAAACATATTCATTCATTTTCCAGAGCCAACCTCTTACATCGATTTACTTTGGTTTTAGGTTTGATTCTTTTCAGGTCAGAGTTCATCCGTACATGTCACAAGTTGTAGTTTCACACCGCTGGCGACAGGAGGAGCATCTGCTGCAACGTCGACACCTGCTGGCTGCTGCCGCACAGCACAGGATCTGGACCAGGATCTGGACCAGGATCTGGACCAGGATGTGGACCATAAAGACTCAGCTAAGTACGTCTCCTTTACACGTTGTGGACCATAAAGTCTCAGCTAAGTACGTCTCCTTTACACGTCACAGGCATATGTTGATGCTCATATATTTACTGAATCTTTCGTTAAGCAGCTGATACTTTTTTTTTTTTCAGATTTACAGTCAACTACTGAAAAATGTATAATCTCAGTCTAGTTTTCACTTTTTTAGTTTATTTTCTTTTCATATCAGGTGTCAGAATATTCTGCCTGTGATTGAAGCTCCTCATTATTCTCCATATTTAGGTCACACACTCCCAGCTTACTCCTCTAATTTGCATAATCACAAAATACCGTAAAACAACATTCTTTCTTTTTGTTTTTTTTCTTCCCTGCTGCTCACAGCTGCCTTTGTGTGTGTGTGTGTGTGTGTGTAGTTGCGTGTGTAGTTGCGTGTGTAGTTGCGTGTGTTAGAAGCAGATTACAGCAGATTTGAAACTGTGTGGGATTCTTCTCTTTTTCATCCGTGAAAAGAAACGGCAGCAGCTCTTCCTGCTGCTGAGGTCTGATAAGAAGACACCGTCCTCTCTCTCTCTGTGATACCACAGGGGGAAAGAAATCACATTATCTAACATAATGTATTAAATTTATATATCAATTTTTATAGATTTAAGAAAAAATCATTTGGAATCTAAACGTAACTGTGTTTTTAATGTAATGTTTTCGTTTACCGACTTGTTTTAGATGATAATTAAATGTGTGGGTTTTTTTAAGTATTATTCATATTTTCTTCTGGATTGGAACCTAAACTGATCAAAATTCAAAGTTGAAAAATTCAATTCAAAATTCAAAATTGATTCAAAGTTTGTGAAATCGAGTTTAAATGCATTTCCTATGGTTGTTGCTGATGCGCTTCATAACCAGCAGATGTCAGGATTGAACAACTTTACAGCCGTTTCTGAATATTTTCTGTAAAGTAAAGAGAGTAAAGTTGATTTAACTTAACAGTGTTTACTGCGTGTTAGAAACAATGACGTGAAGTTAATGAAATTTTTAACTAAATAAAAGTAGAATACATAAAACAAATGAGATCTCACTGTTATGAGACAATTATTAGACTTAAGAAGCATTTCTTTTACCATAGTGGCGAAAATGTTGCAGATATTATATTTAATTTTATAAGTACTAAATCTGTGATGAAAATCTTTAAATACACTATGAAAGAAATTTTAAAAATAAATAAATATAAATAAAATTCATAATAATATAAATTTAGGAACCTTAGAAAATAAAAACAAAAAAATGAATGTAATATTATTAACGATTAATATTATAATAATAA